TGCGTGTATTTGAGGGGTTGAAGGATGGTTGGAGTTTGAGGACCCGATGTTGGAAAAGGGGGTAGCTAGGAGTTCCCGAGAGCTGTCGGGGGCCGGAGTTATCGCTTCGCTAATAAGGCAGCCCCCCTCCATTGCGTCCCGCCAGAGAGCGGGTTTGAGGACCAGCTGAGCGCTGGGGACCCCCCCAAGGGGGCTCCCGGGAATGTGGGATCTTTAAATGTGGGCGGGGCTTGCGGGGTCGCTGGGGGCGGGGCCAACCCGGGCTCGACCAATCGGCGGCGCCGCCCGCGTCGCACCGCCCCCTCCTCTCCCGGCCCGGGCGGGCGCTCGCCCCCGGCCGGGCCCGTGGACAGGGCGGCGGGGGATGCACCCGCCGCCGCCCCCGGCCCGGCCGCCTCCGGGCCCCACGCCCGCCGGCTGCTGCCCGCCCCGGCCGCGTCCCCGGCCCCGGCCCCCACGCGAGGGTCTGCGGCCGCGCGGGACCCTCTCCCCTCCAGCCTCTTCTGCCCACGGGAGCCGAGCCCTGCAGGTACCGGGAGGGACGGACTGGAGCGCCCAAAGAGGGAGGCACGTCCCGGAGGGGGACGCGGTTTGGGACAGGGGCCAGGACAGAGGGTCTCCGTAGGATCCGGAACCCAGGGGACGCGGAGAGGGAGGGAATGTGTGTATGTGCACTGCCTGAGTGAGTGGAGATTTACGGACCCCCATCGCAGAGGGGGAAGGTACTGGGTTCACTTTGGCCGGGGTAGAGCAGCGAGTCTCTAAACTCCCATAGATACGGTGGGGGGAGCTCTTGGGGTGAAGGCAGCGACCTGGGACTGACTTGGGAATGGGAGGGAGGAGACCCTTCACCACTGGCCCCCAGATACGGGCGTTTTAGGGTCGCCCTATTGCAGGGGCCAAGGAGCCAGGTTTCTCAGCTGTCCCTGGACTGAGGTTGGGGTACCCTACACAGGGCACTGCCTTGGCTGTCCTGGAGGGCAGGCTGCAGATGTGAGTGCTGGAGGCTGGGAGCCAAATGGGAGATGCTGATGGAGAGGGGTCAGAGTGGAGGGCACTGGTGGAGGCGGCCACGGGGAGGGCAGGGCAGGCTAATTGCACCCTGCTCACTGCCAGCAGGTTCCTGACTGCTGGTGATGGGGGCGGGGGGGGGGGCGCCCAAGGGAATTAGGCAGCCAGCGCCTTACTGTGCCCACTCCTGGGCAGCCCAGGGGCGGAAGGGCAAGTGGATCCTGTGCACCCTGCAGAGCCAGGGTCCAAACAGTGCCGGTGGGTAGGATGTCTTAGGGTCCTTGCGCACGCTCTACAGGGACGCACACCCCGCAGCCCGCCCACACATCCTGGAAGGTTCTGCCATGTGCTTCTCTGGCCATGGTTCCTGGGAGTGGTGGGAAGTGCATTTCACCCCAAGAGGCGGGGGGGTGGGGGGGGAGCTCTCTGCCTTGGAGACAGGCACCTTCTGGTCCAGCGCTGAAGGACGGAGCGTGGCACTGGGCAGCAGCACCTCCTCAGATGTACCCACGGCCACATGCGAAGCATTTTCCATGTGAGATCTCTCACTTCCATTTTGGCCACCAACCTGCTGGGGGTGAGGGGTGGGGCCACTGAGACATCCCTTTACTGAAGAGACAGCTGAGGAGGGGGCAGTGACTTCATCCTGGCCGGGACACCCAAGGGTCCCTCCCAGGCAGCCACTGCACCAACCCATCATTTGTAAAAGGGCTCACTCGAGGACCTTTGGAGTCTGGGCATTTTCTTTGTTTTTCTGTTGGGTAGAAAAGCTTGGAGAAGCCAGTTGGCCTGCTTCGTGCACCTGCCCACCTTCTCCCCACTCCTCGAGTCCTCCTGGGCACCCCCCTGCCACGGGTAACCCCCAGGGTTCCCACAGTGTTTCTCGGGGTGGCGTGAAAGGAGGGGAGTTCAGCTCACCCTTCAGTGAACAGCGGGCTCATGCCCCAGACACATTAGGTAATTTTGGCAATTCTAGGGACCTTCAAAACCAGGTGCAGCCCACAGGGTGTTTCTAACTGCTTAGAACTCATCAGCGAACCCAAGGCCTTCACCCAGAAAAACACACCCTTTCACAGACATCCAGACCTTGGCCGGAGTTTTAGACAGGGCTGCTGGTTCTTTGGGAATCTCTGAGGGTGCCAGGGACCCCAGGCTGTGGGCCTGGTTGCAGTGGGGGAGGGGAAGGTGTACTGGGAAAGGGTGGGGTCTCTTGTCTCCCAGGGCCCGCTCGTCCCACCTGAACTGCAGAAACAGGCTGCCCCCTTCTACGGAAGGCCGCTCTGTCTTGTTTCCTCTGAGGTCACAGGGAGGGTCAGGCACCCACCATGCCTGTGTCCTGAGCACTATGAGCCCTCAGGGGCAGGGCTAGGCTGGCTCCCTTCCCAGAAGGTGGCTTGTCAAGAGGGAGCTGGGCAGATCCTACCACCCTTTGGCACCAACTTTGTCTCTGCCCCCTTCCTGGCTTTGTGACCTTGGGCAAGGTGCTAGACCTCTCTGAGCCTTGTCGCCCGTCTGTAAAATGGGAGCAGGAATGCTACCTGCCTCACTTAGTGGTGATGGGAATTAAATGTGATGACTCTGATAAAGAGCTCAGTAAGCCCACAGGAAGCGCCGTGTGCACAGTAACGTGATGGGCCATGGGAAGGCCCTCCACCTCTCTCCCTCCTAGAAGCCACCTGCATCCATCCCCCCACGCCCTCCCTGCCCAGGGCACCTTAGGACGAGGCTGCCAGGCAAGGAGGAGCGTGGCCGACACACGGCTGAATTTGGCCTGCGCGTCGGGCGGCTGAGTCACATCCCCAAATTGCATCTTCGTAAGTGCGTTTCGGAAGGTCGTTTGCAACACCCCCACCCCCTCCAGGCTCTGTCTGCCAGGCCACTTGCCTCTCCAGCCTGTGCCCCTGAGCCCTGGGGGAGGACCCTCTGCACTTCCAAGAGAGATGGTAGGAGCGATGCCTGGGGTTTCCTCATCTCCTGGGTGAGAGCAGGGGCTGCGATCGCTGTGTGTGTCCTGGTGACAAGCTCTCGGCCCCATGCAGGCGGCAAGCAGGGGCCTAGCCCAGGAGCAGCATGGCCCCTGCGTGTTCGTGAAGGTGGCGAGAGAGATCCGAGCCAAGGTCAGCCTTATAAACTGTGAAGTGCTGGGGCCGCAGAAGACCAGCTTGTATAAACCGTGAAGTGCTAGACCTGTGTGAGGCCAGGCCTTTTAAACCAACGTGTCAGGCCACATGTCGCCACGGCCTGGTTGATGTCATGGATGGGGAGGGGCGAGGGAAGGGATGTTTCCTAACGCTCACGAGGTCGCTGTGCCATGAAAGGAAGGTTTCTTGTCCTCCTACTGTGTGCTGGTGCCAGCATCAGGGGACACCTGGTGAGTGGGACACACTGCCTGGTGGGGGGGTGCTGTGGCCAGACTAGGTGTCAGACATGAGGTGGACAGCCTGGCCAAGGTGGTAGCGTGGCTCATCTTGGCACATGTCCTGATGCAACAGCTTCCGTGTCTGTTACTCCCCAGCCCTGCTCAGACTGTGGTGTCAGGGCTGTAGAGGCACCCTGTCTGGACACACAGCCCTCTCTCCTGGGCCTGGTACACAGGGCCCCGCTGTACATGCCAGCCCGGCCTTTTCAAAGGGGCAAACACTTGGCCCACTACCTGTTGCTGCCCCACTTATTCCTGGTGAGACAGTCTCACAAAGCAGCCCGGTCCAGAATCTGCCCTAGAAGGAGATGCCTCTTCACAGCACAGTGCCTCAGTTTCCCTATCTGTCAAACCAGCCAAATCCCCAGGACCCCCCTTCTTGGGGGTATTGCAAGGATCGCAGAGAAAATTGGTGTGAAGGACAGAGTCTGGCATGTTGTAGCAGGTGTGCCCTAAACATTGGCTGGTAGTGGCCTCAGGGGGCACGTAGAGGGAGGGGAAGATGGTGGGCTGGGGCGGGACAGGGGAGGGGCTAGCAAGTTGGGGCCCAGGAGGTGAGAGTCCCAAGGCAGCCTCCTCGTATGTGTGTCACTGTCATGAAGGTCCTTGCTCTCGAACATGGTGCCAGAGGACACTGCCCTCTGCAAGGGCAGAATCCCAGGGTGTCGGGGCGCTCAGGCCGTCTGATCCTTGGTAGCTTGGAGAGGACACTGAGGCTGACCCGAGGTCACAGGGCCAGGCCGAGCACATCTCACAAGGCCCTAGTGTGCGATCTTAGAGGTAAATACTGGGTTGCCACATTGGTCCAGGAATCTCTTGGGAGATCACAAGCCTCCTTCCACGTAGGCAGGAGGGGGCTGGGGGTCTCTGTAGGTATCCCCACGCGGATACCCCATGCTTGCGTATGTTCAGGACTTGGGACAGCTCTCGGGGAGGACCCGGAGGCTCAGTAGGGTGACATGAACTTGTCACTGGACCTGAAGGTCAGAAGGCGACAAGCCCAGGTTGGAGCGACCTCCTGACCACCACTTACATGGCCTCTGGTCCTCCCAGGCACACCCGCCGGCAGATTCCATCTGCAGACATTCCAGAGTGTTCCCTGAATGTCAGCTGAGTGCTCGGCATTGTCCTAGGTACTTGGAGACAGAAAATCAGTGGGCAAAAGTTCAGTAAGAGGGTGATCCAGGCAGAGGACACAGCAGATGCAAAGGCCCCAGGCTGGACCAGGCTTGTCAGGATCTGGCGACCGGGATGCCTATGGGGCTGGAAGGGAATGGCTCTGGAAGAGTGAGAGGGTTGAGGTGGGTAGGAGCCACAGAGGGCCTCCTCCTGGCCACAGTGAGGTATTTGGTTTTTATGCAGCAGCACTGGGGAGCCATGGGAGGGTTTTGAGCGGGAGAGGAGTCTAGGCTGACTTAGGTGTTTCTTGGCTGGCCAACCCACATGTCAGTCATGTGTCTGGGTTCATGGCTTCCTGAGCCTCAAAATGTTTTGGGGTGGCGGCAGGGGTCCCTTGCCCTCCGGTCAGTTAGCAAGGCCCTGTCGTGACTGTGTCCCTTGTGCCCCTCAGGTCAGCGCAGGAGCCCGGTCACTGAGCCATGCTGGGCCCCGGGTGGCCTGCAGCGAGCCTAACCCCGGCACCCACATAGTCATGAACAGCCACAGCCACAATGGCTGTGGGGGGCGGCCGCCGGGCAGCGGGCTGGGTGCCCTGGGCAGAGACCCTTCGGAGCCCGAGGCCGGCCACCCCCCCCAGCCCCCACGTGGCCCAGGCCTCCAGGTGGTGGTGGCCAAAGGCGAGCCAGCCCAATCCTCACCTGGCAGTCCCCGTGGGCAGCCCCAGGACCAAGAAGAAGAGGAAGACGATGAAGAGGATGAGGCAGGCGGGAGGAGGGACTCGGGGAAGGTTCCGAACGTGGGCCACCGCCTGGGCCACCGGCGGGCGCTCTTCGAGAAGCGGAAGCGCCTCAGTGACTACGCCCTTATCTTTGGCATGTTCGGCATTGTCGTCATGGTGACTGAGACGGAGCTGTCCTGGGGCGTCTACAGCAAGGTAGGCGTGGCCTTTCCCTCCTGGGCCCCCCTGGCCCCCGCTGCTCCTATGGGCCCCCCTGGCCCCCCACTGCCCCTCTGGGCCCCCCTGGCCCCCAGTGTCCCTTGGGCATAGGCTCGGGGACCGTGTTGGCCCCAGGAGAAGCAGGTGGAAAATGCTGGCAGAGTTGGGGGGGTCTGGGGGCAGGGTTGGGGCGGGCACTGGCCCTCCCACTGCGTCCACCTTCTGGGGGTAGCAGGCAGGCTGCACATGGGGGAGTTAGGCTCCAGCCCATTCCTTCTGCCCCGCACCAGCAGGCCACATCCTGGCCTCAGGTCGGGGGTAGAGGGCTGCCCCCCTCCCCCAGTCCAGGCCCAGAACAGGAGAGCCCCAGAGAAGGCCTGCTACCACCCTGGCTGTGCGTCCCCTCGTGCTACCTAAGGGTGTGTGAGGACAGAGATCAGGGCACATCAGCCAGTAGGCCGTGAACTGGCGAAAGTGGACGTGGCTAGACCTTCCAAACTGTGAAGGGCTGTACCTAGCCGAGGCCAGGCCTGATCCACTGTGATGTACAGGGCCGTTAGGAGGCCAGGCCTTATACACTCTGAAGTATAGACCAGCCTTGCCATTGACCCATGCCTAAGGAGAAAGGACAGGAGTACGGCTTCCTGAGTGGGGAGCCCTGGCGGGGGGTCAGGAGGGCCACACACAACCCCCCCCAGCACCCTGCCCTCTGCTCTTTCTCTCTCTCTCTCTCTGCCCAGGAGTCCCTGTACTCGTTCGCACTCAAATGCCTCATCAGCCTCTCCACGCTCATCCTGCTGGGCCTGGTCGTCCTCTATCACGCCCGGGAGATCCAGGTCAGTGCCCAGCTGGCCAGGGCGGGTCCCGTCTCCGTGCCCCAGAGACCCCCCAGCAGCAGCCACCTGGGACCCCGGCTCCCTAAAACATGAAAGGAGCAGTAGCCTCTTTATAGAAAAAAAAAAAAAAAGATCTCTGTGAAGACATATCTTTTAGATCACTCTCAATTTCTTGAGAATACTTGTTTGTATTTTACTTTTTAGTGGTTATTTGGGGAAAAAAAAAAAAAAAAAAGCAAAAAGAAAAGAGGGCAAAAGGGAGCCAGAGGTGAGCTGGGGTCCCGCACACATAAGGCATCTTCGCAGCCCTGAGGGCTCCCGAGGGTTTGCAGCCTTGGAACCTGGGCTTCTGTTCTTATTTGCTTAGACCCTGCCTTTGGCAGATTTATTCCATGCCAGGGAGTCTGTTCTCCAGTTTAGGGAGTTTATCGAAACCTCAGTGGAGCCAAGAGAGCCCAGCTCAGGGCCCATTGTCACAGCCTGTCACATGAGGCAAGATGTCACCTGGGGTTGGCCCCAGGGCCCAGGGAGGCCAGAGGCTGTCAGCTCTGGGTCCTGACCCCGACCCCCAACCTGAAGGGGCTGCGGTCCGGCGGGAGACGGGTGGAGGAAAACCCTGCCTGGGTTGAAGCATCCGCAGACGTCCCGGGGCACACCCAGGGTCTAGCGCAAAGGAGGGACGCTGGCTGTGGCCGGGGACAGCGGAGGGACAGGGATACTGAGTTGGAAAGAAGCAGTTCTTAAAGGACGGCAGCTGGGGACAGCACTGAGTTCCTTATACAGACGAACACGGTGGCACCGCATGACCCAGCAGCCCCAGGACATCCAAGAAAAATGAAAACCCACATCAGCTACATCCACGCGCCACTTGTACGCGCGTGTAGACAGCAGCCCTGTTCACGGTGACCAACAAGGGGAAACAACCCAGACCGAAGGGCGTATGACTATGTCCTAGGCCACACAGTGGAATGTGACTCAACCCCTAAAAACCCAAAGTGCCATGAGTGTTCTCCGGGCTGCCTTTGCAGGGCACCACAGCCAAGGGGCTTCAGCAGCAGAAATGTATTTGCCCGGTTCTGGGGGCCGGAAGTTCAAGGTCAGGTGCTGGCAGGGTGGGTTTCTGCCGAGGCCCTGTCCTCGGCCTGCGGGCGGCTGTCTTCTCCCCACCGTGTCCCCTTGGCTTTCTCTGTGTGCGCCTGTCACTGGAGTCCCCTCTTCTTACAAGGACACTGTCCTGTAGGATTAGGACTCCACCCTTATAACCTCGTTTAACCTTAATTACTTCCTGCATTTTAAAAAATATTTATTTATTTTGAGAGAGAGAGCGTGAGCAAGGGAGGGGCAGAGAGGGGGAGAGAGAGAATCCCAAGCAGGCCCTACGCTGTCAGAGCAGAGCCTGATGGGGGCTCAAACCCACGAATGGCGAGAACATGACCTGGGCTGAAATTAAGAGTCGGATGCTTAACCGACTGAGCCACCCAGACGCCCCTAAATTTAATTGCTTCTTTAAAGTCTTTAAAGACCCTCTCTCCAGGGACATCTGGGTGGCTCAGCTGGTTAAACGTCTGACTCTTGATTTCACTTCAGGTCGTGATCTCAGGGTCGCGAGTTCAAGCCCCGCACTGGGCATGGAGCCTACTTAAAAAAAAAAAAAAAAGCAGGCGGCGTTGGGGGCAGGGGCTCTCTATCCAAACACAGTCACAATGGGAGTTAGGTCTTCAGTTTATGAATTTTGAGGGTATACAAGTCAGTCCAGGACATTCCAGCCTCTGGCCCATCCCCCAAATTCATGGCCTCCTCCCATGCAAAATGCATTCACCACTTCCCAACAGCCCCCAAGGTCTTCATTCATTCCAGCACCAACTCCATGTCCCAAGTCTCACCTAAGCATCAGATACGGGTGAGACTGAAAGCGCCACTCCCCTCCAACCGAGAGCTGGACAGGTCATTGTCTCCCAAGATACAGGGGTGGCACAGGCATAGGCCAGACATCCCTCTTCCAGATGAGAAATCTGAAAGAAGGAAAGCTGACGGATGCAGAGCAAGCCAGAGAGCTCACAAGGCTAGTTCTAGGAGTTCTGAATGCCCACTGCCGCTGTTTCCGAGCTCACTGGGGTGGCAGCGCTGTCCCCTTAGCTCTGCGTGGTGGCCTTTTGTGCCTGCCTTCTGCGACTCAGCATGTTTTCAAGGTTCCTCCACCTTGTAGGAGCGTCAGAGCTCCTTCGTCTTGCTGGCTGAATACTGTCCCATTGTACAGAAAGACCTCATTTTGGTGATCTGTTCATTCACTGATGGACGCTTGGGTGGATTCCACTTTGGGCAATTGTTCGTATACCAAGATTGGTTCCCATGTCTGTTTTCTGGTTTGGTTTTACGGGTTTATTCCCCCCAACGCTTGTTTTCACTTCTCTTGCATCCATCCCTTGGGACGAGATTGCTAGGTCATTGGTAACCTCGCCTTTTCTTTCTGGAGAACGCCTGTCCCCAGGTGTTAGTTTGAATGGCAGCTAACCCCGGGAGCTGGGGAGTTTCACCTACGAGCCCACGTTTCTCGTAAAGGCCAAGCAGGGGGGGCCGGGTGTGGCGCGGGCCGGGGTTGCTCCGCAAGGGGACACGGGCGCGCGTCCGAGACCCACCACCACCTGCCTTCTGCAGCTGTTCATGGTGGACAACGGGGCAGATGACTGGCGCATCGCCATGACGTGCGAGCGCGTCTTCCTCATCTCTCTGGAGCTGGCCGTGTGCGCCATCCACCCGGTGCCGGGGCACTACCGCTTCACGTGGACGGCGCGGCTGGCCTTCACGTACGCGCCGTCGGCAGCTGAGGCCGACGTGGATGTGCTGCTCTCTGTCCCCATGTTCCTGCGCCTCTACCTGCTGGGCCGCGTCATGCTGTTGCACAGCAAGATCTTCACGGATGCCTCGAGCCGCAGCATCGGCGCCCTCAACAAGATCACCTTCAACACGCGCTTTGTCATGAAGACGCTCATGACCATCTGCCCGGGCACCGTGCTGCTCGTCTTCAGCATCTCCTCCTGGATCATCGCCGCCTGGACCGTGCGCGTCTGCGAGAGGTACGCCCCTGGCCCTGGCGACCGCTGTGGCCCCCCTTCCCCCTGTGGCTCAGGGACCCAGGGCTCCTCTGGCCGTCACATCCCCTGACCCATACAATCCCCCCCCGCCCCCACTCCCCGGTTTCTGGCCTCAGTGGCCATCCGTCAAGCACAGCTCCCTCATCCCTGGGACTCCAGCCTGTGTATCCCGCCCCTACCCCAACCGACAGCCCTCTGGGACCCCAGCCCTCTCCCCCAGGGAGGCGGTGGGGGGGGTCTTATGCTCCTCTTTCTCCCAGCTCTTCCGCTGCAAGCAGCTGACCTCTGACCTCTGGCCCAGGGCAACGGAGGCAGCGGGAACAGGATGCCCCCCCCATCTGCCTGTTTCCCCCACAATTTAATCAGCTCTCCTTCTCCCCTCCGCCCGCCCCACCGGACTGTAGGGAAAACATGTGAGTCCTACCCTTGACCAAGCTGTGTGCACAGAGCTGCTGCTGTCCTGTCCGCCAGGAATTTAAGATTAGCTGCCGTAAGGGGCGGGGGGTGGGGGGTGGGGCACGTAGGGAGGTGAGGCGGGGTGGCCAGAGTGCTCACAAGGCCTGGACAGGCCAGCAGGAACTGCCCTCGGGCCGTGTCCGCTGGACATCCTGGAGGCCCTTGTCTCCGAGACTGGGAGGGTCCTGTTTGGCCAGGTGGCCCTGGGGGCCTTGGACAGCCCCTCCGGAGAGTTACGTGGCTCTGGGGTAAATAAAACCCGGCGCGGCCTTTCGTACCTCTCTCTGCACGGGGTTTGTTCTCAGCCCTGGAGAGTGCAAGCCGTCAACCCAACGTACAGATGGGGAAACGGAGGCTCTGGGGCAAAGGGGCATTCCTGAGGGCCTGATTCCTGGGCAGCTCCGGAGACCCACAGGGTGCTTCAGGGAAGGGAGGGTCCCCATGGAGCCTCTTGGGATATGGGGGTGCCTCGCCTGGGCAGGAGCCTCTCCTACCTCCTGCTTTGCTGGGGAAGGCCCTGGAAGGGCTCTATGGCAGGTGGAGCTGAGACTGGGCTTCCTGGGGGTCCTTGGGCTGGACCGGCCCCTCCAGGCTCCCCCCCGCCCCGTCTTCACCCCTTAATTTCCTCCACGGCACCTCCCTCAGCCTGATGAGGGGTCACAGGGGCGAGGGCCCAGCCCTTCTTGTCCTCGAGGCTTACCGTCTCGTGACCAGACAGGGTCTCTTTGGACCCCTGACGGATCCCTCTGCCAGTTCCCACTGCCCATCCCCCACCCTGTCAGGGCGGGGTCTGCATTGTGGTCTGCGGAGCAGGAGGGGCGCCCTTGAGGTGCAGTCTAGGTCACTGCAGGGGTCCCGGGGTTGAGGCAGGACCCGGGGGATGGGGGGGCAGCCAGTCCTAAATTCTGAGCCCCATGATGCTGCTTGAAGCCCCCTCGCCTGCCTCGCTCTGCCCCTGCGGCTCTGTCCCACCCCCCGTCCTGCCTCCCGCATGCCCCCCACTCTCTGGTCCTCGGGAGTCCCGGGTGGTCCTGCAGCGCCCACCGCAGCTCCAGCCAGGCCCAGGACTCCCCCCCACACACACACTGCTGGAGGGCCTCCCTCTCCTTCGCTTCTGGTGTGGGGTGTGGGTCTACCGAGAGAGAGAGAGGTCAGGGTAACTTGGGGCTCAGATCCCTCAGTGGAATTCAGTCCCAGGTTCCCTTACACTCAGCAAGCAGACTGGCAGCCCAGGAGGAGGGGCCTGGAATGGTACCTGACCCCCAGGGTGGGGGACAGGGACTCCCTCACCCCAGACCTGCTGAGAAGGTCTCTGTCCTTCCCATCCTCCCTCGGGCTTCTGCGCCCTCCTCCTTTTTAGCCCCTGACGCCAGCCCTCCCCCCAGCTTCCCGTGTCCTGCCAGGGCCCCCCCCCCCAACCCCGTGCCCCCTCAGTGGACCTCCAACCTTGAACCTCCTCAGGGCCCGAGGCCCGGGAAGGAGTGGCTCATCAGGGAAGGGCTCCCTGAGCCGAAGGTGCTTTGCAGGCTGGGGGCTGGGCTGGAGCAGAGCCTCGAGCTGGCACCTCTGACCCCCCGCCTGGGCGGACCCCACACGGGACTTATTTGTAGCCCACGTGACTGGGTTCGCAGGGCTGGCTGTGGCCTGGGACGATATCATGTCCCTTGGGGCCTGCTCACCCCTGTACCCGAAAGTTAACTGTGAGCCTCCCCTCAGTGCCAAGCTGCCCCCTCCCCCCTCCCCTCCCAAATAAACCCTAAGCGGGGATTCAGGGATGATTGGCGCTGCCCCCCCTCCCCACGCCCCCACCCCCGCCCGCACACGGACTTCCCTTTTGCTCTCAAGTCCTGGAACACTGCAGCCACCTGTGTCCCCCAAGGGCCCCCCTCCCCCTCCTCCTGCCATGGGGCCCTGCTGCCTGGGGAAGTTCTTCCTGATGTCTGACCTGAGTCCTCACCTCTACTCCCTGCCGCTTCTGGCGCCCGTGGCCACCCGTGTCTGCATCTGTCTGTGCGTCTGTCTTCGGGAGGGGGTCGCGTGTCCACGTGTGGACACAAGTGGATGTACCCTCACTCGGACCCCTCTGCCCCATAACCAGCACCAGGGAGGGCACGTGTTCTGGGCAGCAGCTTGGGGTGGGGGTGGAAGGGACCCCGGGGGGAGAGTGCGGGTGGCCCTCTGCCCAATGGTACCCTTGGGAGGGTGCTAACCACCCCCTCTCCCTGCACCGGTACCCTGTTGAGCCCTCAGAGTGGTCCACTCCTTGTAGTCAGGGCCCCCACCCAGCCGGGCGGGCCCAGGGCACCAGCGGGTATGATGAAGGCAGAGAGACTGCTGTGGACTGACTGGGCCTTCCCTGGCTCCCCTCAGGTACCACGACAAGCAGGAAGTGACCAGCAACTTCTTGGGAGCCATGTGGCTCATCTCCATCACCTTCCTCTCCATCGGCTATGGCGACATGGTGCCCCACACCTACTGCGGGAAGGGCGTGTGCCTGCTCACCGGCATCATGGTAAGGGTGGGGGCCTTGCACACCTCCTGCTGATGGGGAGCTCACCCCATTGTGAGCTGTAGTGCATCAGCCTGCCCCTTCCTCTCTGTGTCCTCTGCTTCATCATCTGCCTCCTTTGCAGCTTTGCCGTGACTCCGAACTCTGTGCCCTCGGGCTTCCTAAGGGCAGCTCTTCGCTTCCTCCAGCCAGAAAAATGTAGTGGGGCCAGGTGCCACGGTCTGCTTTTAGCATGGTGCCTTTCTTGCCTTTTAGTCTCTGCAGCCTGCTTAATTCACGGCCCTTGGGGCAGGGCTAGGGACCTGAGGCTTCTGTGCCTCAGTTTCCCCAGCTGTAACCAGTACCCATTTCCTCTGTTCCCTGTAAAGTTCAAGTCTCTTCCTTTTTATTCATTTACTTATTTTTAATATATTTTTTAATGTTTACTTTTCTTTTTGAGAGAGACAGAGAGACAGAGCACAAACGGGAGGGGCAGAGAGAGAGAGGGAGACACAGGATCCGAAAGAGGCTCCAGGTTCTGAGCTGTCAGCACAGAGCCCAACGCGGGGCTCAAACCCATGAGCCACAGATCATGACCTGATCCAGAGTCAGACGCGCGGCCCAGGCGCCCCTCCTGTCTGTTCCTTTATGTGAAACGTCTAGAACGATGAATGGTGTGGACACCCAGTCAACACCCTCTGGGTTGTACCGTCACGGCTCAGTCGCCCATCCTTGCCTGATGCTTGGGACATCCCAAGCACCCCACTGACCCCCAAGCTGTGAAGTTTGTCTCCCGTGGCTCGTTGAGCCCTGGCAGCACTCCAACTCCCCCAAGACCTCTCAAGTCCATCTGTGGATGTGGGCAGCCTTTGACATCTGGCACCTTCCTTCCGTGATTCCATCATTGGTTTCCCTGCTCATCTCCTCCTTCTGGAACCTTCTTTCTCCAATTTTCCACCCCCTTCACCAATGCTTTTCCGTGTCTTGGGTTACAGATTATTAGATCCCTGAGAGGAAACTCTTCTCCCCAATCCCCAGTTAGTAACTTGTTCATATGTGCAAACCAGGGAGCATGAATAGGACCAAAGTAGCCCCAGAGAAGCCGACTTCGTCCCAGGGCCGCTCCTGGGAGTGTATCCCTCCCTTTCTCCGTTCTTGCAAAAACAGGATGTGATCCACACAAGAGTTTCCTTTTCTCCTGCAGACAGAAAGGGCATCTTGTGGGTCTCTGCCCACCCTGTTTTGCTGCTTGCGGACCGTGGTCGGCTGTCACTCTCTCCCGAGGCCCACGGCTCTATCCCCATTTCGAATCCTCTCTAACCTGTTTGGGCATAAGCCGGGGGGGGTCCTCATCCTCCTCTGGCCCCCACCGGGGGCCCCCTTCTCCGAGCTGCGCGGACACAGCCCCCCTCTTGTGAAACGCCGTCACGGCTATTTGCTTATGTTATTTTGCAAGAGGGGAGGGGAAAAAACTAAAGCGGGGGGAGGGCCACAATCCCACCCTCACTCCCATCAAATGGACTTTACAAACAAACCGAAAAAGGACTTGGGTAAGGCGAGCTCAAACCCGGAAAGTCCACAACAGAATGGAGAAGCCGAGTTACGTTCTCCGGGACGGGGCTCCTTCTGGAAAAGGAGTTCCAAGTGTGGCCCCCTCTGATCCCAGCGTCTTTCACTGGACGTGGTCTCCATGGTATTGTGCGGAACCACCGGGTGTCCTTTTTCCTTCCTGCATAGTATTCCCCCTGGAGGTTTTTTGTTTTGTTTTGTTTTTTAATTTATTATTATTATTATTTTTTTAATTTATTTCTAGGAGAGAGAGAGANAGGAAAACGGGGGCATGAAAGAGTAGAGAGTTGCTAAGGAGGACTTCTAGATGCTTCTAGATGTTCAGAAGGAAGAACTGGTAAGGAAGGGGTAGTGGGAGTCCAGGACTCCTGCTACAGCCCAGGCCGGACTCGAGGCGGTGACCCACAGAGAGAGCTAATAAATTCACAAGGGAAACAAACAACGATAAAACTAGGACACGCCCCCCCCCCCCCGCCCCCGGAGGTTTTGTTTGGGCTTCTTCTGAGAACAGAAATCCAGGAACCCACGTCAGGGCTTTCTCAGAAGGTGACCTTGTGCTCATGTGGCCCAGGCTGGGCATGTGGGGGTCCAGACCTGCCCAGGGCTGTCCGATGGTGTCCCTGGCCCTTCCCCACCCCTCCCCAGCGATGTCTCCTTCCATCCCTAAGAAGAACCGAGCATCCCTGGTCAGGTGGCCCCGGCCGTTCTTCCTTCTTGGAGGCCATGGCCTCAGGAAGAAGCAGCTTGCAGGGAAGGATCAGGCGTGGCCTTAGTGCAGGTGGGGAGCACCGTCTGGCCCGCCTCACCTGCTCCCGCCACCTTCCTCGGGCCCTGCTGGGGCTGGTGACACCTCGTGGGTGTTCTAGGCTCCCTGGCCCCTGGTCCGTGGTGGCAGACCCCCTCCCACCCTCCCGCATCACTTTTTCTGCCCCCTTCCACCCGTGTGCCCTCTCCTCTCTCTCCGGTCCTCACTCCTGCTCGTCTCTCTCTCCTAGGCTGCTCCCCCGCAGACCTGCGAGTCCTCCCTGCCCTCCTTCACTAGCCGGGAGGTCTGCTCAGGGCGTCCTGAGGAGTGTGGTTGCATCAGTCACGGAGGCCACCACTCCCCCCCCTTCCCCCTCCCTCCCGGGACCCCCACTTTGCTCCTTCCTACCTGCAAACGCCCCACCAATGGCAGCCAGCCCGATTCTCACTCACGCTGCCCATGACCCCTCCTGTGACCGTAGAAAGACGTGTCGTCTGGGTCTCTGTCCCCAGACCCCAAAGCCTCGAGGGAAATGCTTCCAAATCCTCCCTCCTCCACGGTCACCAGCTCTGAATGTACCTGCGCATCTTGCCCTTTTCTTCTCCCTTTCTTATCTCCAAGCCTCCGTTTCCCCCTCTGCCTAGTGGGGATAAGAGTGGTCGTACCTCCCATGGCTGTCGGGGTCAGATGAGCGCATCAGTGGGACACGCTCCCCAGACATTCAGCTGATGTTAAGTGGGTGCGACTGGGAGTCCGCGAGCTCAGCAGGCAGGGATCTGCCAAATACCGTGGGCTTGGAGGGTAGAGGGGAGGGTGGAATCGGGACGGGCTTCCTGGAGGAGGGAGGGTGTCCTGCCTGTGGCCTGGGACCTCCATGGGGCAGGATGGTGATGTGTTCCCCACCCTCCGCGTGCAGGGGGCCGGCTGCACAGCACTTGTGGTGGCCGTGGTGGCCCGGAAACTGGAGCTCACCAAGGCAGAGAAACACGTGCACAACTTCATGATGGACACTCAGCTCACCAAGCGGGTAAAGACCTCTGTCTCAGCCACCTCCTCTCCCGGTCACAAGGGCAGACCCCCCCGGCCAGGCCCGTGCATGTGCCCACCGCTCACTGCCCTGCCCTGTGCTCTGCTGCCCATGCCAACATTCCAGAACCATCCACAGAGACATGGCAGCGGCCTCAGGAGTTCCCCCGTGTGCCTCGTCATAGCCCCACCCTGGGCCACACAGCAAGAGGCACATGTTTGGGGGCCGGGCAGCCAGGTACACTCTATACGCTGCCTGACCTTGGCAGGTCGACTGCCCCGTGCCTCAGTTTCCCCATGTATAAAGTGAGAGAGATAGCAGCGCGTGTAGATTTGCTGATGTAACACTTGCGAGGTGTATACAAAGGGTCCGGCCCGCGCTGAATGTTCGAAATGAAGTGCACACACACATACCTACACACACACAGAGCCGCAGATGAGGACACATCAACATGGCCTTGCCTTACAGTCCCCGGATCCCAGAGGGGCATTTCCAGGAGTCTCTAAGAGTTTCTGGAGGTTTCCGGAAGTTTCCAGGGCCTTCCACGGTTTTGTGCCTGTCTTAAGGAATTGCTCTTTTTCTGGCTCCAGGTAAAAAATGCCGCTGCTAACGTTCTCAGGGAGACGTGGCTCATCTACAAACACACGAGGCTGGTGAAGAAGCCAGACCACGCCCGGGTTCGGAAACACCAGCGTAAGTTCCTCCAAGCCATCCATCAGTAAGTCCAGCACCTTTCCCGCTCACGTTTCTGTGTCCACCCGGTGCGGAGGCAGCTGTGGTCCCCGGGAGGAGGCTACAGGCCGGGCCAGACAGCTCCGCATGGCCTCGTCATGGCCCCTTCCAATCCGGGTGGTCAGTGGTTGGGGCTTGCAGCATCATGCTGGGTGGGATGGTCAGAAGGAGGCAGGTGACGGGCCTGGCACTTGTCCAGGGCAGTCACCTTTGATAAGTCATGCAGCCCATCCCAAACAAATCGCCAGAAGCATATTTTATTCTCCAGAATAGCCAACACTATTTTACCTGTTAGATATTAAGCAATTTCCCTTTTTCGCTTTGGCTGCCAGGAAGCTCAGAATTAAATGTGTGTCCTGATCCATGTGATCATGTAGATCACATAACTAGAAATTATGTGAGTCCCTCCTGAGAATATATTTAGTCAAGTGGTTCTCATCCTTGGCTGCTCACTGGAATCACCCACGGGGCTTTAAAAACCCCACATGGATGGGGCGCCTGGGTGGCTTAGTCGGTTAAGCGTCCGACTTTCGCTTAGGTCATGATCTCGCGGTTCGTGGGTTCGAGCCCCGCGTCGGGCTCTGTGCTGACTGCCGGCTCAGAGCCTGGAGCCTGTTTCAGTCTGTGACT